CAGCTTGCTGGAAGGGAGAGGTGGCAGGAATTGCTGGTCTTCGAAGGAGTCATGCATTTGGACTGCCTGGATCACATTTGAGTGAGGATCAAAATTGGTTGTGGAGTTGCGGGCCATCAGGATAATTTGGTGAGTTTATTTCTGTGTATCATCGTCTGTTCATGTCCGTCATGTTGTTGTTGTTGTTGTTGTTGTTTTTGGTGACTGTGATTATCCTTTTTGAGCGATACATGAATGTTGAACTCCAATGACCACTCACTGACCATTGGTCACGTTCACTAATTTTGAGCCCAGCTCACATGATCTGCAAGGGTGTGAACACACCCTACCACTCATTGGACTGATCGCTAGTCACCCGGCGGAGCCCGTTGACCACCGGGAATGAACAGACTACTGGGGAGGTCAACCTACCAGGGATTAAGGGGTCCCGGTTTTGCCACAGCCATTTGGGCGTGTTGTTGGTCGATCCCATTTCCTGCCTGCCTGCAGCAGAGCGAGCAGTAGAAGTGCCAAGACCTGACATCACATGGAAGTGGAATTCACCCCCCCTCCCTGTTTGGTAGAGGAAAATGGTCTTCCTTTCGGGACCATGCCATCCACGTAACCATGTGATGAGCTTCGTCAGAGGGTAAGTAGAAGTGGGGAGCAGCAAAGCAGGCTAACGTCGACAAGGGTCGAACTGCGTCAGAACGAAGACACAAGTCGTGCCATCCAATACATCTTACACGCTGATGCTCAGTCTTTGGTCCAAAATCCAACCAACAGCAGTCACACCAAGTGTTGTGGACTTCTATGGCTTCGGCTCTTGAGATGCGCCACATGAACCTCCCCGAACGACTCGTCCACTCGTCAACTCGTCCCATCCGGCCATCCGCCCATCCGGTGGTCGCCTTCGCCGACGAGCCTGCAGGCACGAAGGCCAAGGCAGGGCTTGACTGCTGATGCCTCGGAAACCACGCCGTCGCCCTGGTTGGGAGATTGGGAGGTTTGGAGGAAGCACCTTGGAACACCAGGACCAGGCAGGTGGCGCGATCCGCCAGGCAGCTGGCGTCCGAATTCATCCGGGACTCGAAGGGACTTCCCCTGCACTGCTGGTGGACTTCAGTAGCGAATCCGTTGACGTTGGGATCCTGTAGATTGCGATGAGAGCTCCACTGCTCAAGGCTCCAAAAGCATGTTCCACATGGACCGTGCACATTTCAGAAATTAACAGCTCGTATTTCAACCAAAACACCATAGAGAATGTAGGTCTAGCTACTAGCTATTCTCAGGACGCTGAACATGCAACAATACAAAAGGAGCAAAATACTTAGTAGCCTATATGATGTTCCAACATCTATTATTTACTGAAGGTTTGGTTCCGTATTGGAAGGTCTTTTCTTTAGTTCGCAGGGAAGGTTTTATCATCCCGTCTGTAAGTGTCACAGCACTAATCAAATTACTGACACCACCTTAGCACTGAAACAGTTGTGAGAGTCTTTGCAAGAAACGGTCGTGAAGAAGATCAAGCTCTTGCACGCTGAGTCTATCCCCCCAACCAAAAGTCAGTTTTCCGATCAGCCATCATTTGTCTCTTCACTAGAGGCTTTCTGTGGGTAACGCGTTTGGAACCTGATTCAGCAACTGAATTGGAGGCCTACCCCGGTGCTCCAGCAATACCCTCAAATCTTCCTTTGTACCAGGGGGAGAAAATTTTAGTGATTCACTTCACACTCCAGAATTTCACTGCCGACCATGTACCCAGTGGACGGATCAGTGCCACACAGAGTTCCCAAATCATTCCCCTTCAACCCTTCCCTCAACCGTCCTCCATCTCCACGTCTTGCAGTGAAAGAGACGCTTTGGCGTTGATCTTGGGTCCGGCGGACTGCACCACCTGGAGCGAAGGCTTCATTCTTAACCCTCCAACGAGGGTCACCTGGTTTGGTCAGGTGTTTTCAGCCCACCCACGAAACCATCCTCGGAACTCGGGTAAAGAACGCAGGATGTATTGCCAAAGCCAATTCGGCATCTTTCATCTAGAATGCGAACATCTCAGGCAAAACCATCGGTAAAACAGAGAGTGATGGTAAAACACTGTGGTGCTCAACTCCTTAATGCAACACAACTCCTTTGACCCCTTCGTTTTCCTCCGTCCTTCATGCGCTCATGTTACGTAGACATCCAGGTCCTGCGTTTCATCTCCCCAACAGTGCAGCGACCAAACCTTCAACGTTGAGCTCTCCACTCAAAAACGGTCAGAGAGAGTCACCTGTCGAGAGAGTCACCTGTCGGTGTATACCCGTCATCCACCCGTCGGGCTTTCTCTTCTCTCTGCCAATCAGGTGTATACCCCGTCAGGGCTGGTTCTTCCGTGCTGATCATGAATCTGATTCTGGTCTAACAAGCAAGCCCACAGTACCACTCCCCTACGATCCCAATCTTGATGCCCAGGGATCCCACTACGAGTTTCAGGGGATGCGCCTGCATCATGTTCTTCGGCAATGAAAGTTGCCTGTGGTCCGAGAGCAGGGCACGGAAGAAAACAGACGGGACAGGGGTTGATCGTAGTCCCAAAAACTTCAGTCATCTTCTCAAGTGTGGTCTCACTTGGGGGAGTGGGGGAGTGTAGTCTCACTTCTATGGTCAAGAAAATTTGAGAGGTCTGCATTGATTCATGCATGAGAGGTCTCCCAGAGAGACTGCATGGACAATGGAGTTATTCATTTCTTGATGGTTGTGCTACCCATACTAGCAGCCCTTTTGTTTCATGCTGATGGGCCATCATGGGAAGGTCAAATACCGTCAAATACAATCAATTTCTCAAAAGTACAGGACATGCATGAAGCATGAGACTTCACAGCAGGAAGCATGCACAAATGTATCTTGAATGTAAAAGGTGCAGGAGGGCAATGAGGCCAATTTACCTAGCTGCCACTGCCCTCAAAAACATCCCCGATTAAGCATTGTTTTTCTTTACCCAGTGTCAGAGAGCTTCACCAAGAGCTGCCTCCAAGGTAGCTGTAGTCTTGGCAATCGCGGCAGCCAGGACGGCCAGGACCTACCGCGGGGTAGTTGGCAGATGGCAGCCTGGACCTAAATCATGGAAAACACACTGCGTCATGCCATCTAGGAAGTATATAGTTGCTATATCACTGGACGAGGCGTCCACCTCTAGACGCCATACGTCAACGACCTTGGAAAACCTCCAAAAAGAATGAGTGACACACCACACCGTCACCACACATCACACCACCACCACCACCACCACCACTGTTGGCTGAGGTCATTCTCCATTCGAATTCGCCCTTCTCGGCCTCTGCTTTTGCTTCACGTTCTCCGAGTCCCTTGGAACAGCTGCTGAACGCTCTTCGGTGCTTAGAACGAGAAGGAAGGAGCACTGCCTGGAACATGTCACCAAAATAGAACGATCGGTTGGATCAAACAACTGAATGGTATTGAATTTTGTCGCAGGCTTCCCCAAATGCTTGGAACATGTTCTTCCTCTCAAACAGTTGCCATACTTGGCCCATCCCCATCCTTTCCTGCCCAGTGGCGGGCGGGCCAGGAGTGTGTCTGGCGACAACTTCTTAAACTTGTCTTTCAGCTTGGACTTCGTCGCTTCAGACAGCTCGTTTTGCACCTCGAGAGCCGCTTCGACGCTCGTCCACCGAACGAAGAACGAACGGTGTTGTGCCGGGACGGTGTCAGCAGAAAGCCAAACCACAATGATGAGGGCGAGGGACACACAAATGAGGAGTTGATTTTCACAGGCGGAGTTGCAAAAATTGTGGAGGATCCCAGGAAATGAAACATTGGATTGACAAAGACGTCACAATCAAAAAAAATAGTTCCTGACCTGCATGTACACCCCTCTAAAAACACCTTCAGCACCTTCAGCACATTGGGCGTTCGTGTGTGAGCAACACGACACAAAAACACAGCTCTTGGGCTCCCAGGGTGGGATCTGCTCGTCTCATTCACTTGTTTGCTGGTGCGAAATCAGCCCTTTGGGAATCAGCACTTAGAAAAAAACACAAAAGCATTGGAGATGTCATTAGACCCCAAAAGCAAGTCAACAGCATCAAGGCATACTCTCTGATTTGCGAGTATTCACCGCACGGGACCTTCAGCATTTTGAGCTTTCTCATGTCTGTCGTGACCTGATATGCTCGCAGCACTCTTGGGCTCTGAGTGTCAGATTTCCTGGGGGGTTGTAGCGTCGAACTTGCTCTTTTTTGTTTTACTTACTTTGTCAAAGCCCTTCAGCCTGGGTGGTCTGCTGCCTGCCCCAAGGCTGAGACACTGTGGGGTTGGAAAGGCTCCTTCCTGTTGCACCGGGATGGCCCACGAAAAGTTCATGAGGTGTCGCCTGTGGCGGGGCAAGAAGAGAGTTCCACTTGACAAACCAGATTTCGTGGCAAGCTAGTGCTTTTGTGGTGGCTTCAGTAGTGGTAGTGGTAGTGGTAGTGGTAGTGGTAGTGGTCGTGGTCGTGGTCGTGGTCGTGGTCGTGGTCGTGGTCGTGGTCGTGGTCGTGGTGGTGGTGGTGGTGGTCGTGGTCGTGGTCGTGGTCGTGGTCGTGGTCGAGGTCGTGGTCGTGGTCGTCGTGGTGGTGGTGGTGGTGGTCGTGGTCGTGGTCGTGGTGGTCGTGGTCGTGGTCGTGGTCGTGGTCGTAGTCGTAGTCATAGTCGTGGTGGTGGTGGTGGTCGTAGTCGTAGTCGTAGTCGTAGTCCTAGTCCTAGTCCTAGTCCTAGTCCTAGTCCTAGTCCTAGTCGTAGTCGTAGTCGTAGTAGCAGCAGTAGCAGCAGCAGCAGCAGTAGTAGTAGTAGCAGCAGTAGTAGCAGTAGCAGTAGTAGAAAAAGCAGAAGTTGCTGTTGTTGTTGTCGTCTCTGCTTTGACTCTTGCCTCAAGACCAACCCACCACACGAGACCAGGACAGCAGAGGCCAGGACTTCATCTGACATGGATCTTATTTCTGAATTCTTAATATGTAGTTCTTAGTAACTTCGTTCTCAACCACTACCGGCTTCAACATCTAGAATCTCAAAGCCACCAATCCATTTCCGCAAGCCGCTCACCGATTTACAATTACGGTGCGCCTTCCACCGGACCCGGCACAGCCCGGACCCGGCACAGCCCGGACCCGGCACAGCCCGGAGCGGTCGCCTGGAGCCCCGCTTCGATCAGCTGCAAGCCGACCTTCCCTGCACAGCTTCCCACCAAGAGAGCGCCCTGAGTGGCACGGCAGACCCGTGGCACCAGGGCCAAAACGGGGTCTTTCACGGTGTCAAACGGGTGGGGGAACCGGTGGGGAAGTCATCTGGAGGTGTTGGTGATGGTTGTTTTGCAGGCAGGAGTTGATGAGTCCGGTGTTTTGCCTCCACTTACTCTAGTGTGTTTTGCAGCTATGCCTTTATGCCTTTATGAGGCAGCACAATCGATACCAGCTTTCTTCCAAACTACTTGAATGTGCATTGAAACAAGGAGACACCCTGGCCCTGGCCCAGTGGATTGTCTATCTATGTTCCTTCTTCCAGGGGGTCTTTGGGGGGGCTCTCCCGACACTATTACATACCCCCTTCAGGAGATGTCTGCCTTCCGTTCCGTCTAGTTCACCGGCAAAGGATCTGGTGGTCCACGGATGCTTCACTCACCTTCCGAGCCCCTGTCCCAAGGCGGTCGACCGCATTCAACGCCGCCGGCCTTGCCTGGAAACGTTCAAAGGTCCCCGCCATTGGCCACTTTGGACCTGATTCAGAGGGAACTCTGAGTGGACAACCGGCCGGGCTAGAGTCGGCTGGAGCTCAGACGTTGGTCGAGAAAGAGAGAGTCCGATCAAAGCCCAAAATCAAAGAGAACAAGGATCAATGAACGAATGGATGGAGTTTGGGACCTGTTTTCTTGAGATTATTTTCTGGCAAAAGCTCCTGTGAACCGATGTTGGAGCCCATCCAAATGTGCTTCTGGTATGTCTCTGATTTCCCCAAAAAACGGATGCCTGCTGGCCCAGATCACCAGTCCCCGGTCTTACGTCCTCCGTCGTCACGCAGTCCCTCCGATTCCGACGGTGGCAACAAGGAGTGGAGGTGTCCAATCTGTTCATGGAGTCTGTTTCCATCTTCTGAAGATAGAAGATAGATGTGACAGACCGAAAAACCGATTCAGAAGATGGAAACAGACTCCATCACTTAGATGGATGTGTGTTGACGTCCATGTTTTTACAAATAGACCTGCGCAAGTCTCTCAAGTGTTTCAAGTCTCGATGTGGGAGCCCTTTCAATCTGAAGACCGAAGACCTGAGTCACATGAGAGGTCGGAAGCTGGGCCGGAGAATGGGATCAAACGCTGGACTCAACAAGAATTGTTGTGCCAAGCTCGGGGTAGTATCTGCTCCTCAATGAAAGTGGGTGGATGTTTGATGCCGCTTTATCAGAAACTCTGAGAGGTCCAGTTGCTTGGATCCCCCGGGCCCCTTTCACCCATTCAGTTCCCATCCAGTTCCCATCCAGTTCGCTCTTGTGCTCCCCAGGCTCAATGGGACTTTCCACTTGATGGGTTGCTCCTTTATGTACAACGACGCCAGCACCTGGGGGGGACCGGTGCCACCCAGCAGGGTGCTATCCATGCGTGGGCCTTTCCACAAGGAGAAAGAAGGTTCGTTTCTCTAGGCCCTAGATCTCTATCCTTCGAAGTCACTCGTCACATGCGATGACCCGGACGGACACCGCCTCTACAGTAGAGGGGTGTCAGGCGATTGCAGAGAAGGGAACGATGTTCAATCGCAGTGCCTCAAAATGGTGAGTATGCTGTTCCTTCCTAAGGCAAATTCACTCAAAACCTTCCCAAATGCTGCTGCGTTGGGTGCTTTCGACATGTCAGCCATGTGCTCCGTATCTCTCCCAAAGTAAGATCCCCCCCAGGCGTCCAACGGCCGTCTGCGCATCTTGCGGGCTTTGCACAAGGCGACTGGCCTCGGTCATGGTTGGCATGGACTTTTGTGGCATCATCCATGTTCTCCACATGGGATCACGTGACTGTGAAATCACAAAAGCATCATCTCTTGTCTTGTTGAAACAAGGAAGCAGTATTACCAAAGGTGCCACTTCAAGTTGAAACTTCCGCAACGGTCGAATGCGTGGCAAGTTTCGCAGGAATTCCACCCATCTTGGCCTAATATTGGCCCACAGGCCAACAGCTATGTACAACCAATTTAGTTGCCGTTTTTAGAAAACACACACCAAAGTGTGGGTTCCTGAAGGGTCAGTTGACAAGATAGATTTACGCTGGGTAGTTTCAGCTGTTCTAGAAAGCTTCTATGCAAAGCCAAGAAAAACATGTGAAGGATGAGTCAAAACTTCAAAAGTCTGGAACCACTCTGGGCACAAATCAACTAAAAATCCAGGAAATTCACCCAAAACTCGCAGCTTGGCAGGCCCCCACGTCACCACCAAACCCGCATGCGAACGAACAGCCATGTCTAAGGCACCGGACCAAGGCGGAGCGAATCTCCGACTGTTGCTGCTCCACCCCACCAAACAAGGCATGGCCTGCGGGCGGGTTTGGTGCGGACGGTGGGTGGTCGTGGGTCGGACGAGTTCCCTGCAGGCTTGGGAAAAAGATTCAGCCTGGGATGCGATTCCTCCATTCCAAGCCCAAAAATGCGAGCGGTCTGAAGCAACACCTAGAGAGGTTCCACGCGCCTTGTCAAAGGTTCGTACCCTTGGCCGTGGCTTAGGACTATACTACCGTGGCTCGCATTTCAGGACCCTTGTTCTTGGAATAGTCCACATGAGCCCAACAAAATCAGGCCTTTGGGGCCCTCCGGGTGATGGAGGTTTTTCACGAGGCCACTCCGATCAGTGTCATAGAGTTCCAAGCTAGGTGCGAGGATGACTCGCTCGATCAGCCTTCCTCTTCACTCAATCAGCCCTCAACATCAAGTCTACCTGTGAACTACTCACATGACCCCACGTCTGTGGATATGGGATCAGTTGTTTCCTGCATTTGAAACCAAACAAATGTTGACAGCGAAAACAAACGATCTTAGATGGGCCGAATCTTCCAAGCACTATGTAGTTCTATCCCAATAAAAAGCTGTCAAGCGAGCTCCAGACTTCAACCAGGTGAACCTGACCGCTGGGTCGGCATCACCGCTTGGTCGGCTCGGGTCTGTTCTTGAGATTAAGCACCTGGTACCGCTGCCATTTCGATGCTGGGAACTCCTGTGGTCCCCAAGGCTGCATCTGATTGGCTCTGAAAGCGAAACCCAGCTTTCTCATAGCAGCGAGTTCCTTGCTCAAACGCTCAGTTCGGTCGTCAGCCACCAGCCACTGGGCGCCAGCAGAGTCTAGACGTGAGCCCCCCAACAGCACAACTTCACACCTGTTGAAAAGCGCAGACGACAGCACCGTGCAAGACGGCACTGGGAAAAAACATAGCATTAAAACGTACCCGAAGGGCAGGCGATTTGCTCACCCACGATCAAAAGCGCACGGTTGCGAAAAGCCGTGATACCATGTTATAAAAGCATGGAATTGTGCGACTTACGACAAAAAGTTGTTCAGCGGCCACTTTGCTGCTTGGACTGGCTGCGGTGCTATACTCTGGAATTATGCCGATAGATCCATTGGAAGATTCTCTCACAGATCTTAACGTCCCACGCATCAACGTTAACCCATAGCATCAACGACCCACGCAAGTGCACGTGAACGTTAACATGCCCGACCCCACCCCAGTTAACATGAACGTTGACATAGCCCATAGCATCAACATCCCAGGGTGCACATGAACGTTAACATGCCCCATCCCACCCCAGTTAACATGAACGTTAACATAACCCACAACATCAACGTCCCACACAAGTGCACATGAACGCTAACATGCCCCACCCCACCCCACTCCAGTTAACATGAACAACATGCCCCACCCCACCCCACCCCAACTACTTAGACATGTCGTATACATGTACAAGAACCAGCAAAACACCTAAAACATGGTATCGTTTGCTTGCGGCCGTGTTAATTGTCCCACGTTTGGGACGGTTTTGGACGTTGTTTGTGACCAGTCTGCCACCCTGGCGTAGAAAACTGAAGATCCGTTCTTGAGGCGCCAAGCCTCGTAAAGTCGGCACACACAGTCCGTGGCCGTTTGGAACGCCATCCTCAAGGCTGACAGCTCCCGTCTTCAAGATCCCTCAAAAACGTAGGTTGAGCCGTGGGACTCCTCGCCTAAGGGTTTTGGAATGGCTTTTCAACCGTCTCGCTGCCTCCACCGATGGTTTCTTTGGGCGCTCCCCAAAACACCGGTTTCAGAGCGCCCTGAACCAGCCGCCTATTGCAAAGGTGGATCCATAAAGCACTGCCAAGGCATAGGTGACCTCGGCTTCACGTCGGGTGAAGAGGGACGAGGTAGAGGTCTGATTGGTCACCACGATGCACCTAGTAAGTGTTGTTTGCATGTCGCGCACACACACACAACCACATACAAAGAAAAGAATCGACATCAAAACATGTTGGAATCTTTGGGTCTGGAAGTGTTACTCGAATGACAGCACAGGAAGATGGCGGCGAAACCTGCAGCTGCAGTAGGTGCGCGGAACCTGTGATGATATACATATAGATAGATCAAGTGATGTAAGAAATTGCAGAAGCAAGAGTTTCGATACTTGGCAGTCCTGGAAACAAGTTCATCCAAGTCGTTCCTCCAACAGCTAGGTATTTTTTTCATGAACGAGTTCAGTTTTGCGGTTCCCCAACAATTAAGACATCCCTTCTCTTGGCCCTAAGGCCCTAGGTTGCTTAAGAAATCGCCCATGCTCATGATTGCTGTTGTGCACATCAGAAGGTTGTCACCATAATGTGCTTAGAGTCTAAGAGGTCCCTAAGTATGTTATCTTCTTTGACCTCACTTTTGGACTACAGCCTACAAATCAAGGTCCAGGTCACCTCCTGACGAATGGATGGAACTTCAACCGCCATCATGGTCCACCTACTAAGCGCGGTAGACCCGAGCGCCCACGCATACACCGAGCAGGGCCTTAGGCCAGCCAAGTCCGGTGTCGTTGACCGTCTGGAGATGTCGGGTCCAGGTGGGACCAAACCGAGCAAACCACGAAAGGTAGCAAAACGAAAGGGGGTGAACGAAAGGTTGCAAATGATGTCATACATGTTTGCTAAAGCAAACATGAACTCAGGTAGCTGAAGCTACCTTTCGTGATTCATAAACTTCCACCCTCCATGAACCTCCAAGAACCAGCTTACAGAATTCTTGGCGCCAAGAAAAGCCTCGGCCAAACCCTCCACTCTCCGCATCTCTCCACCCTCACCTCCCGGCTCGTTCACTCGGGCAGGCCGAGGCCCAAACGCTAGGCTCACCTGGAATACGGCGTAAAACGTGCAACGGGATGAAACGCCTCTGCTCTCGGCTCGGCTGCTCAACAGGACAGTCACGACATACACATACCTTTTCCACACTCAATGCGCCACGCTTTCCTCCAATTACCTCTCAAACAACCAAGGAACACCAAAAACCTGGCGACCAAAATGTGCAAAATCATTGGTCAAAGCAAAGGATTTCAGCCTACGTCAAACAATGCTCTACATCCATCACCAAATGTCTAGAGGTTCTGCCTGCTATGCAAAACTGCCTGTCTCCAGAGCTTGTTCAGAGTCCTTCTAAATTGAAAAAAAAAACATATTACTTGGTTGAAATCTTCCCATTTCCACGTCCAAGCCCACGGAAGGGGGCCTTGTCAATCCAAAGCCACACTGAGCAGCACTGCCTCGCTGCAAACAAATGTGACATGTGGATCGCCAAACAGAACTTGTTAATCTTTCCATGATACAGTCATTGCCATTTTGTTCCAACCCACCTGTGGACACAACGGGACACAACACCCTAGTCAGTGGCAACTGGCAAGGACATTCCTGGCAACACCAAACTCTTTGCTATTTACCATAATTACTCCTTTTGTCACCTGACCAGCTTCTGCTAAGAATAAACCGGCAAGCTTGAGTCACCTTAGGCTTTGTAATTCAGGCTACTGCACAAGTCATAACCTTCGATCTCTCCATTGTAACATATGTGGATCTACCCATAGTTTTCTACATGATCAACAAGTCATTCGGACTCAACTACACTGACCCATCTTCTGAACCGTGCACCATCACTCACACATCACCCACCAAGCCAAACAACTAACTCGCCTCGCCGCAACGAAAAAAAGGACAAAACGTCGCTGGTCGTCGACTCGGTCGACTCGACCGAGTGGGTGACCAGGCATCAGTGTATAGGCTAGGAAGGCCAGCAGGAGCCACATCACGGTGGAGGAGAGTTCCTGGCTCAGTGGAAGAAACCACTTTGGCCACAAGAGTAAGATCCCACATTGGCCATGACAAGGTGGTGACTACAGAATTGAAATTGGACCAAGGAATTGGACCAAGGAATCACTCTGACTCACTCACGTGGAAGTGAAAAGCCTCCGTTCTACGAAGCATATTAACTTATCAATAAGTCTAGGTCGCAGAACGAGAGGGAACAAAGGTTAAAAGAAGACACCTAACTGGACAACAGGTGTTGAATGCCACCCTGCGCTATCAAGAGCAAAAGCAAACGCAAGGTGGCAAACGCAAGCAATCGAATGTTTCACAGAATGCGTCGCCTTGGTTCAGGTGTGCAATGCAAAAAAGAGGAAATTGCCAGGAAAAATGAGAAGGGTTTAGACTCAATCCTTTCACAACAGGCAAACTGACATCACTGGCTGGGCTGGGATGCTGTATGCATGAGGCAATGCATGCGTATGGAGCATCTGCACCACCACCTGAACTCCAGTAAGGTTTCAATCAGGCTTTCACAGTAAGCAGCACCATCCGGTATGTACAGTGAAGGCACAACCTGTCAACCACATCCATATATATATATATATAACCATCCTGGAGTACATAGAATATGGAATTGAAGGTTCCGGCCGTTTTTGTCGACGAACTTTTTGAAAATCCAAACGGGTACATAGAATAAGAAAACGTGGATTTCGAGCTTTCAAGTCAACCACATTTTTGAAACATAGAATATGGTTCCCCTCGATTCTCCTTTTCTTTTCTTTTTTCCTTATTTTGTTCATGTCTGTTCCTTTTATGTTCCTTTTGTCTTCCTTTTCTTGTGATTTTCCGTTCCTTTTGTTAAATTGTTTTCATTGTCTTATCTTTTCTTGTCCAATTCTTGTCCTTTTCAGCAGGAACTTAGTAAAGGAACTTAAAACAAAAAAAACATAGAGTCTCAAACCGACCGCAGCTGTCCACAAAAAAATAGAAACCACAAAATATTCTAAGTACCATGTTTGGACCCATATATTCCAAGTACTTTTTTTTCTTTTTTGCAGCCGCGAGATTGAAAACACACATATTCTATGTACTCCAGGATGGTTATATATATACAGTATATATTGCAACAAAAGAGCCAGCCCGTAGTGCCCACGTTGTGCAAGATGGACGTGGTATACCCAGTTGTCCACAACGTTTTAACAACACGTTGTAACGGTTACACCACGTGTCTGGGGCCCCCGTTCGAACCCAGTGGAAGATTGTGCCCACAGGCGCCCTCTTCATGGGTGTTGCAAGAAAAGCTGATCAAAACTGCTGAGCATTGCTCAGGAACCCACAACAAATGACTGTTTCTCGTAGGAGGGATGATTCCACCAAATTGTTTCGGAGTTGCATGTTCTCCATGAATTCCGGAATTCTGCTTCATCAACTTACTATCAGACACAAACTGGTGATGATGCATGTTCTCTCTGAATTTGCATCACCCCATAGGTCTGAGTCTCAGTCCATCTTAGGACGAAGAGCAGCATCGTCTCGAAGGCGGAACGAGGGGTCCACGCAGCGTTACGGATGAAACGGGCTCCACGAGACCGATCGGCCCAATGGCCCCCCAACGAGACCGATCCTCTTTCGATCCTCGTGCCGATCCAGCGAATTGGTGGGGCCCCTTCCCGCGCAGAGCATCCGAAGGCACCATCACCCCACCGCATTCTGCACCTGTTGTCGTCGCGGTACGCAGTCCCCACATGGACGCCCCAAACGAAGACGACCCACGCGGAGAACGGCGGAACGCCGAACGCTGCGGGGGGACGCCTTCGCCAGGCGATTGACATGGTGAGCAAGCCCGGCGTATTTGCTCAAGACATCATCCAGTGGCACCTCGGAGAGCAGCGGTCCCCGGCGTCCGAGTGAAAATCCCGGCGCGGAAAGATATCATGCAAGCATGCGCAAGCAGGACTGTTGATGAAGTTCCACCGCATAACCTGGCACCAAGTTCTTCACCCCTTCTCTGAAGCAAACAGCTAGCAGCTGGCAGCCATGGTAGATCATGGTAGCCATGGTCGAGGCTGCAAGCACTCCCGGACACGAAAAATCGAACTGGGCTGTCTGGCTCGACCTTGCTCGATGCCTTTCGCCAAATCTGACAGCCTCTGCAATGAGCGGTTCCACGAGCGGTTCCATGAGCGGTTCCACGAGCGGTTCCACATGGTTCCCAGTTCCATCTCATGCTACCTAGGTCATGGCTGACTGCCCAGGTGCACCCAGAATCACCACAAATTAAAAGCCGGGAGAAGGGTCAGAAGAATCATCTTCAACATCAGCGTCAGAAGGTTCTTGGCTTCTTTTTTGGACTCTCCACCAGAGGCTAACCATGGAAAAAACGGAGGCGAGGCCCCCCCCGCTTCACCCGCCACATCGCCTGCTTTCAGCCTCCGACAAGCCCAAGAGCACTGGGAAGAAGGCGCAACAAAGCCCCGGGGTGCAAAGCACCAGCCCTGGCCACTTGGGTGTTCTCTTGAGGCGAAGAAAGGTGGGGCGAAACACAGGAAAACTCGGATTTGGGAAAATGAAAATCTCCATCCGGAAAACCCAGTGAAATGGATCACAAGAGTTCCCGAACTTCACTCTTGCTGTAAAGGTTACATGGGTGTGCTTAATGGGTTGACTGGTATATTTTCCTTATTTAAGACTATCTATGATGGTCTCCCGATTTTAATACACACCCACATGAGATGTTGCTGCACAGGCTCTGAAATTCCCAAACTCCAAACGTCTGTCGTCTGCCTCAATGTGCGTTCCTTCCCACTGGTACTTTGGGTGGCGACTGTGGTAGCCAACGTTCGCCCCGAAAGGTTTCAGAAAGCTGCACAAAACCGAACTCTTCACCGTCAGGTGTTTTGATCAACACCTGACGTCTCGAACTTCCAGGCTCCATTGATGTGGCCACTTCCATGGATGTGAAACCTCATGTGCCGAAGCTCGGTCCACGGTCCACCGATTGACGCCGCGCCTAAAGCACCGGAGGCCGTGCGCAGCACTCGGACCTGGAGACCGAGTAAAAATGTGTGAAATGTAGAACAAAATGAGGAATTGTGGCTGAAAACATGAATATACATTAGTGTGTGAAATCCTCGGATCGGACTTGCCGCCCCAAAAGTTTGAGCTGGAACCCGTGAAAAAATAGGAAGAACCAGAAGCAAGTACTGTAACAAATAAGTATCGAATTCGAAATAAGCGTTGACGAAGCGTACCCGTTGTTTAGAATCACTAAACGTAGCCAAGCAATGTTTGTACATAAGAAGAACACCAATTTCTCTGTGATCGCAAAAAACTGACAACTACCCAACATGTGTTGAAAAGCAACGGCCAAAAAAATATGTTCCAGCAAAGCGCTCAAAAACAATAATCGAAAACATCGCTGATTGTTGATACCTGTTGTTACACCTATCTATCTGCTCGTTCTTTTTGCAGTGTGTGCTATTGTCTTGTTTCTTTGTTCGCCCATGCTTTTTGCATCCTTCCTTGGTTAAGCACTGTTTGCTCTTGTTAACTCAGTGGTCTGGTTTTCAAAAAGCATTCTATGTCTTCCAGATTTTTTCAGCCAAACCGTCCTTATTTTGGAATGGATCAGGGAACTGAATTGTGTGTTTCTCTTTACGTTGTTCATCTTCCTAATTTTCTGTTTCTTTGCAGCATTCATTATTTAGGCATGGATAAGGTTTGGTCTTTTTTCATCCTTTTTCTAGATGTGTTCTCTCCTTTCCTTGTGTTTCTCTTGGCAGCCATCTTAATTTAGGCATGAATAGGGCACGCGCCTTCTTTTCTTGTCTTTTCCAGGTCTTTCTTAGTTTGTCTCTCCTTTCCTGTCTCTCTTACTAAGACCATTACACTTCCATTCGTGTTTGAACTTTCATGTCTTTCTTGTCTTGTCTTCGTTCCGTCGCTGTTGTTCTTCAGGATTTGGTTTTTGCAGGTGAATGTATGTTTTTCTAAGAAGTTTGGTACACTTACTGATTGCTTTGCTGAATGCAGAAAACATTTTTCGAAGTGCAGAACTGTTTGCACACCTGCAAGGCATCCATTTGTAGAAAAAATGGCATCAGGCCACTACAGTGGCGACACACTCCGGAGACACACTTGGATGCTTCGCAGTTAGGGTGGAAGCATTTCTCCTAAGGATCCATACCGTAAATAGCAAAAGCACGGGTATCGAAGCCAGGAGTGTGACGCTCGCCATCGTAGACCTCTTTGCCGGCGTGAAAATTGGCGCCAAACTGATAGTTCCGTGGTTGCAAGAGCAACTCAAGACAGCCATATAGCTCAGCGTTTTGTTGAGGCCTCCGGGCTGTGCCAAAAATCTCGCAACAACCACGGCGGTAACCCAAGAGTGGGTGCTGGAGTTGGCCCTGTGACTGGTGGAGACATGGTTGGGCCTCGCGCGAAGCAACAGTTTTCCTTCGAGTCGCTTGGAACAATATGCTGCAAACAAAGTTAAGTACTAGGTCCTAGCGGATGAAAATCAGTCTGCTGCTCAACATCTTTGCACCACGCAGCTTCTCCGTTTGTCTCTACTTCGATGTCTGCTTGTCAGGATAGTTATTTTTTGAGAGCTCGAAGTTATGCGGGCGTGGTTTTTATGCGTTTTTGTGGTGTTTTTCTTAGATTTTGTCATGTTTTGAAAGAGTTTCCACGGTTGCGGTCTAGATATGTTCTTGTGCTCCTGTTTCCCAAACAAAACCAACTTTTCTTTTTTTAAAACAACCTCTGGATCCGACTCTACCCTTCCTCACCCATAAGCATTCTCATTGTTTCAAAGGTAGCACTTTTTGGGCTTCTCCCTCCACCTTCTTTATGAAGTGGGCTTCTCCTTCCACATTCTTTATGAAATGGAGAGAAGATCATGATCTTGAAACACAATGTGCCCTCCAGGCCCAACAAAAGTTGAGAAACTTTCTTAGTAGTACTGCAGCTGGATGACTGATTGGAATTGGGCTTTGCATGGCCTTCTTGACGCCCATAGCCATAATATGCCTCATCGTCATTCTCCGGGTCATAGGGAACCATTCCGCGAGCATTGGGAGTTCACATCCTGTCCCACAAGTTCCATCGGACCAATCCTGCTCATCTCCACTGCTCTCACCCAATGGCTCTTCAGGCCTATGCTCCATATCCTCCCATCTACGACGAAATCTTCCAAAGAACCTTATCAGCCCGTGGAACGATCCAGCCATAGATACACTGAGGGTCTGAATTGGCTGCATGGCCACTACTCATTCCCAACCTCATGAAGCACCTTCTCTTCACCCCAACCTTCTTGCCCACACATAGACATACATGAAGTCAGGTTGTACCAAACCTGGCATGCTCAGCATGCTCCCAATGTTCACCCAACATTGCCAAGGATTCTTTGTTGTGATGCCACCCAAGCTCAAAACTCATTGGACCTCACCAACACCCACCCAAAAGTAAACAAATAAACTGCGCACAAAATATGCTCTACCAATAGCATGAAACATGAGGATCAACGAACGTTGTACCCAAATGCTTCTGATCTTCCATTGGGCCACCTAATCACGCACAAACCCATTTGCACCAGGCATTCCATGGACCCCATCCCCATCATTGATTGCTCAGCAAGTGTCCCTCTCACATGGCGCTCATGTGCTCTTGGAGGCCAAACAAACCCAATCGAAGCACCATCCATATTGTGCTGCTGTCTAGGGCATTCGCTCAATGACTTGTATAGCAATACACTTTGCTCAAAGTCAGGATCCCAATCTCTCATGCCCAGGTGTTGCATCTACGCAGCCGCCTTTGGTCCCAAATGAAACTGCATACATACAGCCACATGCCCAATGCCAGCTGTTTGATGCACCCAATGCTTCTCTCATCTCATCTCATCTCATTTCATCCACATTGGAAGTTCCATTTTCCTATGCTCTCTAGCTATATGCCCATCTCTCTCTTTCATTGGATATCTTAAGCCATCAAATCAAGACACTCTTCCACGCTCCACCATTGAGACCATACAGTATAGGTATCCACCCTCGCCACATAGAGCCTGAATCCCCCATTCCTTCTCCATGTTCTGATATGCAATGATCCAATTGGCATGGCTCTGATCTGTCAGATCTCTCATCAAGCTTTTGCAAAAATACTAGCTCTCATGATTCCCACACAGAAGTCCATCAACCATCATCTATCAGCAAGTTCAGGACATCACCTCATACATCATCAAGTCATCACCTCTATATGAGGGGGATCTTGCCTCCAAGACCTCCAATCTCCATCAGTCCTCAATCTCCAGCAACTGGGCCTGCCGGGCTTCTCCCGGGGCGGGGAGGCGAAAAAATAAAACAAAAATTGCTCGTGGAATTTGACTTCTGCGTGGGAATCATGAGAGCTAGTATTTTTGCAAAAGCTTGATGAGAGATCTGACAGATTACAAGTCGACATTTTTGCTAGACACGCTCTTCAAAACAACCAACATTTTCAAAAAAAAAACAGAAAACCACAAACCACAAAAACGCGAAAAAAAACACACCCGTATAACTTCGTTTTCTGGATTTTTTCCCTACACCTCGTCCTCGCAGGCCTCATTCTCCGGCGCCAGTTCATTATACACCGTGCGCGACAAGGCATTGGACTGGACGCCAACCTGGCTGAAGTGCACGGTATCCTGCGCGGACGCATCGCCGCAAACACCGTCAAACTCCATAATGAACGCGAAAAGTCGCGAAGGGGTCGCGCACACCTCCAAGTGGCTCACGCAGTACCGGACCATGTCACGGCTGCGCTTCAGAATTGCAAACACCATTGTCCGGAAAATGTACACGGTCTTCAAACCAGAATGCACCACACTGGCGCGGTACAAGGGCAGCAGCTCCTGAAACAGTGGGTCGTCAATAGTATTATATCAGTTGCGCAGCACATCCAACCCCAAGCGCACGCTTGCCGGCGTGCCCTCATACTTGGTGGGGTTGGGTGTGTTCAGGAACATGCGGAAGTCCCTCCGCCCGAACAGGAAAGTCAACCTCATCAACGCTCACACCCATTCGGACTGCCTCCCAAGCCACAAATACACAGCCGCAAACATGGCCAGGAGGTCAATGCAGCCCATATGCCGATATCCGGGGCTCGGTGCGGCGCCGGTACGCCAATACGCCGATATCCGGGACTGGGGGGATATCAGGGGCGCCGATACACAGATATCCGGGGCTGTGTGGATATTGGCGCGGCGCCGATACGCCGATATCCGGGGCCGTGGGGATATATCGGTGTTGCGCGGGTACGCCGATATGCAGGAGTTTATCTGCTTTCATTAACGCAACACAGGAGAAATAGATACCAACGGTTCTGGCGAAGCTGCATTTGCGTGCAATAAAATAGACTTAAACATGCGGTGAGTTTAGAATGACATGTCAGCAGACACACGCGACCATTATTCAATTTACCTTTTCTCTTGCTTGCAAACTCAGTCATGCCACAGCTGACACACTAGCCCAGTCGTCTATGGACAAGTCCTTGACTGGAATCTAGAATGTTGGCATTAGGCAACAACAAGAAGAAGTTTGTAGGTAAAGGTCAAAAGACAAAACGCACGGTAAAAGCAAAAGAAGAAGACCCAATGCATTGCCCATGGTTGCGCACGCGTGCGCATCCCTCAGCTGCTGCTTCTGGATCTTCATCCTCCTACTGCAAGGCTATTGTCTCTGCGGCTTCATTGTCCTTTTTGGGTCTTCTTATTTTTCTGCAGCGACATCTTCTTGATCCGAGGCTGCAACTTCTTGAACAGTTCATTCATTTTCTCTGCCCGAGGCAGGCGTTGCATGCCTTTGAGTGTTTCCACCACTTAGTGTAACCCTGTTCGCTGCAAATGCTGTGGAGGCACGTTGCCAACCGCGCAAACCAAAGCGCACAAGGTCAAGCAGGTTTTGTCTCTGGCGACGGTGCTGCATCGTTCTAGCCATTGCCTTCTGCGCTATCTGGCACCTGAAAATCGGTATAATGTCAATCGTAATGCTTTCACATCTTTCAGAACATGAAAACTCAAAGCACATGCAAGAAAACTCCGTCTAGCGCAAACTGCTAACTTAGCTTTGAACATTCAGACTTGAAAAATCTTCCCGATAAAAATGACACTCCCTTTGCTCTTTAGTTGTCCATGTTTTCTTCTACTTTCTTTCCTTCACCTTCTTTCTACTCTCTCTTATTTTGTGTCTTCTCCTTTCCTCTCACGTTCTTTCTTTTTGCATCTTTCTTAACTTTCGCTAATCTCTTGCTTTTGCACTGTTCATGATTTGGGCATGGATAAGGTACTTGCGTTCTTTCCTTTGCTTCATCTTCTTTCTTATCTGCTTTCTTCTTTTGCATCCCTTACATTTCGTTTCTTTCTGTTTGCAGCCTTCTTTCTTTATGCGTGGGGTAGTTACCTGCAATCTGTTCTTTTCTACTGCCTGCTTTCGAGTCTTTCGTTTTCTTTCCTGCCGTTTTTCTTTGCAGCTTTTATTGCGTCATGGATTAAATATCTGCGTTCTTTGTTTTGTTTTTTATTTGTCTTACTTTCTTGTCTTTTTCTTTGCGGTCTTCATTGTTTAGGCGTGGATAAGGTACCTGCGTTCTTTCCTTTCTTTGCCTTCCTCTTTGCAGCCTTCACTGCTTAGGCACAGATAAGGTCTTTCTTTCTTTCTTGCAACCTTTCATTCTGTTGGTTTTCGTGTTTTTTATCTCTTCTTGGTTCTGTTTCTTTCTGACTGTCTTTCTTTCTTGTCTTTTCTTTCTTTTCTTTTCTTGTCTTGTCTTTTCTTGTCTTTTTGTCCTTCTCTTTGCTGTCTTATTTAGGCATGGACGAGCCACCTGCATTCTTGCCTTTCTTTGTCTTTAACTTTGCAGCCTTCATTCTTTACACACGGGTAAAGTACCTGCGTTCAGCTCTTTCCTTGTTTCTTTGCAGCTTGCATAAACCAATTCCCTCATGCCCAAAAAGGGCTGATCCCCTAAGAGAACAACATGGGAAGTGAAGATCCAATGTTAACCTTTTTTGAGTTGGTGAGTGCGCTTGGCATAGGACTAGTGCGGACTGGTAGATCTGTACTTTCAATCGGTCAAGGCTTGGGCCGTGTTTGACGCAGCGCTCAGCACTAGGCAAGGGAAATGGAATATTGGGATACATCTGAACCGCCATGGATCTTCCTACTGGCGACATGGATGAAAGTGATGTCGAAAGCGGCAAAGATATGCCTGTGGGTAGTCTTGCTGGTCACACAGATTGCCATGACGAGGACATACTATCGCTACCTTGGACAGACCCTTCTACAAATCACTCGGGCATTTCAGTTCTCAAACAGAACTGGTTGAAACAACGGAGGTGCAGGTTGGTGCTTCTCACTGTTGCCACGGCTCTTGCAGATACGAACCGGATTTTGAAGATACACCCGTGGTGGTTGAAGCAGATCATGTCTGGCGAAAAGAAAACTGAAATCCGTGGAAAGAAATTCCCTCACCCAGGTTGGGTGTCGTTAGCGGCAACACGGCTTCAAGAGACTTGGTGTCGAGCAAAATTAGGGAATAGCCACTTGATGACGGAGTCCGAGATTGGGCACTGGAAGCGCTAAAAAAAACAACCCATGGACATGGCCAACTGAGGAGGCAGCCACTCAAAAAGCTATCAAAAATCCTACGCCGGCTGGTCGTCACAGCGTGCACTGGATAGCTCGAGAGAGGTGGGAATATCACAACGTGGAAAATGCAAGAACTTCAGCCAAAGGAAAAACAGCGAACAAGCGATCCACTGCAAATTCGATACGCGAAGCTGCGGACAAGGTGGTAAATCAGTAGTTGTTCACCTTGCTGTTTGAAGTAAAGAACTTTAGCGGCAGACATAATATTTGTCTACGACCCCATGCATTGTGATGCCCTTGAAAAGACTCCTGGGTATGTATCTATGTATGTAGGTATGTAGGGATAAGCAGACGGAAAAGGGAAGAACGCAGGTACCTCCCGCACGCCAAACTAATGAAGGCTGCAAAGAGAAAGCGCGAGAAAAAGAAAGGAAAGGAAGCCGGGTACCTTATCCACGCCAAAGTAACTTAATCAAGGCTACGAACACGAAGACAAAGAGAAGAAAAGCAAGTGTAGAAAGGAGTGGGGACAAAAGGAAAAGCACAGATACCCTACCCACGCCAAAACAATAAGGCTGCAAAGGGAAGGCGAAGAAAAGGAAAGGACACCCATCCCATACCTTGTGGCAACGAGGCAAGACCATCAAGTGCAAAGGATGCGGGCTGCAAAGCCATTTGGATGATGCAGAGCGAGTCATTCTCACCAAAGGGCTCAAGAAGAAATGCAGAGGACTGAGCCAGTCATCACCCACACTTGACCAACTTTATGGCACACAAGCCAAAAGCAAGCAATCTCAAACCGGCCATGAAGCAGTCAACCGCGGCTGCCAGCCTCTCACCTCCGGCCCCCAAGAAGCTCAAGTTCTCTGATCCGAACACCTCTGCTGAGGAACCGGGTACAGATGAGCACCCCTTGAAATTGCGAGCCAAAGGCTGCGAAAACAATGCATGCAGACAACAACAAACATGAATGTGTCACCGTCCTTTCTGTAGATTTAATACCTTTGGCATAAGGAAGGACCCAAATACAGATTCAGAAGAAAATAATGCAAAACTACGCAGATAGTTGAGGCGCAACAAAAAAGAAAACGTTTTAAAAGGATCTGTTAAGTTATGTTGTGTTTCTTTTTTTTTCTTGTATTGTCACTTTCTGTGTTGTTCACTCCAAAGCTTTTTCTAGCCTTTTGGTATTTCTTTAGTCTCCTTGTGTTCCCTTTCTTTATTTCTTTAGTCTCCGAGTGTTCCCTTTCCAGCCTTCTTTATATATATATACATATACATGGATGAAGTACCTGTTTTCCTTCTTTTGCATGTTCATTCTAATCTGTCTTGCTTTTCTGTATTTGGGTCGATCATTTTTTCTCACCTACAGATTCTCTTATGCCGCATGCATGTCTTCTTTCTTCTGGCTCCTCTTCTTCCTAGTCTCTCCTTTTGGTTACTTTCCTTGGTTTCTTTATGTTTGCAGCCTTCATTAGATAGGCGTGGATAAGGTACGTGCTTCAATCGTTCTTTCCTTTTCTTTGCTTTTGTTTCTCTTTTGGTTATTTGCTGTATTCACTATCTAGGCATAGATAAGGTACCTGTGTTCCTTGCTTTTCTTTATTCTTCTTTCTGTATATCTTTCTTTTACTTTGCCTTCCTTTCATGTCCGTTTCTATCGCTTTGCAGCCTTCATTCTTTAGGCATGGATAAGAGAAAACGGTACGGTGATCATCCCCGGCGACGGTACGGTGAACATCCGCGTAGTCTTGTGGGGTCGTGGAGAGTGTCTGGTCTGTTCCAAATGCCCAACTGTCTTTTGGAGGATGTCGTTTGGATGTGAATAGTATTATATAATAGTAATAGTAAATAGTATCAATCAGCTGTACATGGGTCCGTTACGTGGATGGCATGGCCCCGATGTTGGATGACCATGAAATCCAAATAGGAAACAGGTGGTGGTGCCATCCACGTAACATGGAACATGACGCGGAGTGTAGATGGTGTCAACCGATCATGTAAAGCCTCATCGCTCTGCGTCATCCCCATAAGCATCCGGAGTGGGCGTCAGGACCGCGACGCCCTCTTTGCTTTTTGGCCCAGCAGGTTCTGAGGGAGATCAGAGGGTCTTGATCAGGTTGCGCTGTCAAGCAGTTGAGCGCCGGACCATGTCGCGTTCATTCTTGTGCAAGATGGAGTGAATGAAGAGGATCCAATAGAGAGCCCTTGGTCAGCAGGACATTCTGACTAACCCAGTCACTTCAGTGTCATCTTGATCTGGTTGTAAGATGTTGTAAGGTCTAAAACTGTCCTTGCATCATCTTTGCTAGGCGATCCTTTTTGGGGTATCTTTTTTGTTGCGGCTCTTGGTGCCGGAAATACCGAGACTTTGGGAGAAATCCAGCCGCGCACGGAATCCACGCCAAACGCTGAAGAGATCCGCTTCCCCGGTG